GCGAGCGGACCAGCGGCTCCTCGAAGGGGCCGAACTGCGCCAGCACCTGCCGGGCGGCGGCGTGCTGATCGGGTGCTCGCTCACGGGTCGAGCAGGGGTTCGGCTACGGAATTGGCTTACACCAGAAACTGACTTCCTCATCGAATGTGTGACGAATAGCTAGGATGCTCGTAGATCAATCCACGTATTTGTTCTAGATTCGGCGAGCAAATCAAGTTTGTGGTAAACCAACTCTGTAGTCGATCCCGTGCTCGCTCACGGGGGAGGCCAATGCGGTGACCCAGACGCCCTCGCGTCGTGAACAAAATCACGACAAAATGTGTGTTCGCTATCTTCGGCCACCGGGTGCCCTCACCGGGCCTCGGGACCTTCGAAAACGACTCAGGATGAAAAGCTGGTCCCGGGGAAGTGGTCCAGACCTCTGGGGCACGACGTTGTGAAACAATCACGACGTCGGGGGTCTGAGGACGGCGCTGGGTAAGGAACCAGTAGGTAAGGAACCTAGGGTCTGGTTGCAGGTGGAGCAACGATTGAGGCTTGGCCAAAATAGTATCGCCACCGCCCTGATCCGATAAGGAATCTTTCAAGGTCTGAAGCCTCCTGGGCACATTCCTGAACGAACATCCCCACTGTGAACGTGATGTTCGACACGCTTTCTGCAGATTCTGATGTGTTCGACTCTACCACCTTCCGACAGCCCAAGACTGCCTTCAATAGTGCCCCAAAGACCGCCCGAGAGGGCCCCAGGACAGCCCAAGATGCTTTCCAAATGGCCCCCGAAGGGCCAACACACAGCCCTATGTGCCTCAAACGGAGGAAACGTAAACCTTTCCTGCACCATTTTAGGCCTGCGACAAACAAAGCAATTGAGAGCCCACTTGAGCTCACGTCCCTGCACCCCATCGGATCCATCCACGCTTGTTGCCCCCCACGTTGCCGAGCGCCCGATGGTTCGCCCGATGCCGGCCTCCTCTGGGGGCCGCCTTGGGGCCCCAGAGGACCATCCACAGGAGGCTTCGGGAGAAAACTTTGTCCTGTGGGGAAGGGGGGTCCGAGACCCCTGGGGAGGATGGAGGGACTCACTCTGTCGGACGACGACGTCGTCGCTCGGGAGGCCTTGGGCGTTTCTTAGGGAAGCAAGCAGTGACAGAAACATGAAAACTCGGAGGTCCGCGCGGATTTCTTGGATCCGTGCTGGACCCCCCTCCCTGGCGCGCGGAGCGCGCCAGGGGCGGCGCCAGAGGCGCCGCCGGGGGGCCACAGCGCCGATCCGAGGAACCCGCGCGGAGCGCCCGAAGTTTGTGCGTATGGCATTTTTCTTCGATGCTCGAAAGAAACCTGAGGGGCAACGATAGGGGGAACAAGAAATCCGCGCGGAGCGCTCACAGTTTATGTTGATGGCGTTTTTGTTCTTATTCGATGCTCGCAAAGGACCTGCCAGCAAATGGTCTGGATCCGCCGCGGGGGGATCTACGATCCCTTACCCTTACACCGGGGACAACTCTTTTATTATTCGGACGCTTGCGGGTAGACGCTTTGCGAGTAGTGGAACGCGCTCGGTGAGTTCAGCCTTGCACAGGAGCTTTCTGGCAGCGCGGATGGCAGCGCGGATCGTTCACTGCTGGCCAACTCGGGATCACTGGTGGCGCTCCACCTGGACCGCCCCCGCGGAGCTCGTCACCACGTCGACGCAACGCGCCCCCAAAACCCCCGACGCCGTGCTCTTTCCTCCCGAGTCGCTCTCGACGGTCCCGAGGCCCGGCGAGGGTCCCCGGAGGCCGAAGCCAGCGCAACACCTCCCGTGGTGATTCCTGCACGACGCGAACGGGGGTCTGGGCACGGGATCACTGGTGGCGCTCCACCTGGACCGCCCCCGCGGAGCTCGTCACCACGTCGACGCAACGCGCCCCCAAAACCCCCGACGCCGTGCTCTTTCCTCCCGAGTCGCTCTCGACGGTCCCGAGGCCCGGCGAGGGTCCCCGGAGGCCGAAGCCAGCGCAACACCTCCCGTGGTGATTCCTGCACGACGCGAACGGGGGTCTGGGCACGTGCGGCCCGCCCAGTGGCCTCCCGGGGAGGGGGGGGGCTCCCCCCCTCTGCAGGGCCCACGGGCTCCCGAGGCGGCTCCTGCAAGGCCCGGGGGGCTCTCCCGCTGGCCGTCGCTCGGACGTCCGTTCCCCGCGCGCTGCTCGGCCTCGTGCGTGCTCGTTCTGCCAGATGTGAAGAGGCCCTGGGACACACAAACAAATACACACACATAAAAGGATTCCCGATATTTTCCTATATTTTCTGGGTTTTTGTCTCCCCCCCCACTTCCCATATTCTCCCATATTTTCGGGGGAATCGACGATTAATTGTGTCTGTGTGTTTTTCCCCTCCTGACACAGATGGTAGAGGCCCCCCTGAGGTGGGGTCGGAGCAGATGTGGTCGGAGGATCGCGCCGCATCGCCGATGCATCGGCGATGCGTCGGGGTTGCAGCGGCGATGCATCGTCGACGACGGCGATGCATCGGCGACGTCGGCGTGGAGAAAATCGGGCTCCGCATCGAGCCGCATCGCCGATGCATCGACGATACGGCGCGATCCTCCGACCCCATCTACTCCGACCCCATCTAGGTGTGATCCAGGAGGCTCCTCGATGGCCCTCGCCGAACAAATTCACACGTCTGAGCGATGCCAAACCCGCGGGGCCCGTGCTCTTGCTTCGCCAGATCCGCCCCCCCTCCCCCCCCGACCAACCCGAGCTGCGCGCCCGTCTCGCCTGCGCCACGGACCCGCCGGGCATGTACTCCAGGTAGACGTACAGGCACGAGCCGAGCTCGTCGTGCCCCCGGTATGTGGGGGAACAAACAATGACATCCCAGACATGATCGCGTCGTGAGAAAAAATCAGGGCGGCAAATTTTTGGCTCGTTCCAGCCCCGTGGGGCCCTCGCTGGGCCTCAGGACCGTCAAGAAACGACTCAGGACGAAAAAGCGGTCCCGGGGAAAGGGTCGGGATTTCCAGGGACGTGGTCCTGCAAAAAACCAGGACGTCGCATGTCTGGGGACATGAGCATACAAACTCGGAGGTCCACGCGGACTCCTCGGATCGGCGCTGGAACCCCCGCTCCCTGGCGCGCGGAGCGCGCCAGGGGCGGCGCCAGCGGCGCCGCCAGGGGGCCCCAGCGCCGATCTGAGGACTCCGCGCGGACCTCAGAGTTATGTTTATGTTGGAGTTCGTTCCCCTGGTATGAGACTATGTTGGGGTGCTGCAATTGGCTGAGGATGTCAATCTCGCACTCGAGGCTGCGCTTGAACTTCAGGTCCGTGTCGTCCCGGCCGTCGAAGTGGACCTCCTTGACCGCGAAGACCTGGCCGGTGGCGGTGTCCATTCCTTTGACCACCCGGCCCAGCGCGCCCCTGCCCAGCGTCTCGCCCGGCATCCAGGTGACCCGCGCCCCCCGGATAGCGCCCGGGGGCGCCAGGCCGGTCGGCAAGCCTGACGACTCCTCGACCTCTTCCAGCGAGAGCTCCAGAGGGAACCGGGAGCCAGACGACATCTCCAGCTGGTCGGCAGCAGTCGCCATGCCAACGGAGTCCAGCAGCTCGCGGCGCGGCGAATCGGACTGCTGACTGCCTTCGTCCCAAGCGTCACGCAGGTGCAGCGTCCCGGATGGCCCCGGCGGCGAGGGCCTGTCGAGCTCCGCATCGCCGTCGGGGTCCGGGAGCACTGTGCTCGGCGTGGGCACCTCTGGGCCCTCTGGCGACGTTGGCTTGGGCGTCAAAACGTGCTCGTCCCGCATACCATCTGCGCCGCCAGCCTGTGCCCACCCAACATCGGCGGGCGCTGGTCGCGGCGGCGTCCCGCGCACCG